CCTCCAGCATCGCACTTGAGCCCAGGAGAAGTTACCGGCTACCAGGTGGGTTTCCACGAGGCTGAGTTGGGAGAGGCAGGAGAGTACCGCTGGCGGAGTGCTCGAAGCGGCGTAATGACCTCAGAAATCACAGGCCTCCGGCACTACACTGCTTATAAGGTGACAGTGAGGGCAGTCAACCAGGTGGGCGCCGGACCTCCAGCACAAGCTGTCATTGTCACCACCAACCAGGGAGGTGAGTCCAGTTCTCCAGCACATGCTATTGTCACCACCAACCAGGGAGGTGAGTCCAGCTCTCCAGCACATGCTATTGTCACCACCAACCAGGGAGGTGAGTCCAGCTCTCCAGCACATGCTATTGTCACCACCAACCAGGGAGGTGAGTCCAGCTCTCCAGCACATGCTATTGTCACCACCAACCAGGGAGGTGAGTCCAGCTCTCCAGCACATGCTATTGTCACCACCAACCAGGGAGGTGAGTCCAGCTCTCCGACACATGCTGCTGTCACCACCAACCAGGGAGGTGAATCCAGCTCTCCGACACATGCTATTGTCACCACCAACCAGGGAGGTGAGTCCAGCTCTACGACACATGCTATTGTCACCACCAACCAGGGAGGTGAGTCCAGCTCTCCAGCACATGCTATTGTCACCACCAACCAGGGAGGTGAGTCCAGCTCTCCAGCACATGCTATTGTCACCACCAACCAGGGAGGTGAGTCCAGCTCTCCGACACATGCTGCTGTCACAACCAACCAGGGAGGTGAATCCAGCTCTCCGACACATGCTATTGTCACCACCAACCAGGGAGGTGAGTCCAGCTCTACGACACATGCTATTGTCACCACCAACCAGGGAGGTGAATCCAGCTCTCCAGCACATGCTACTGTCACCACCAGAGTCCAGCTCTCCAGCACATGCTACTGTCACCACCAACCAGGGAGGTCACTGAGTCTGGCTCTCCAGCACATGCTGTCGTTTTCACTGCCAACAAATAAAGTAAATTAATCTTTCAAGACAAGCTTTGGCTTTTGTGAACAAACAAAGATGATGGTCAGGTTATCCTGGACAAGGTGTGGTTGTTAAAACATGTCAGGAATATTGTTTACTTTGTTTATTCATCACAAGCTGGAGAAACAAACTTGCCATAAAATCATCCTTTTACAAACTTACCTCGTGCAAACTACCTCTTACAAACTTACCTCGTGCAAACTACCTCTTACAAACTTACCTCGTGCAAACTACCTCTTACAAACTTACCTCGTGCAAACTACCTCTTACAAACTTACCTCGTGCAAACTACCTCTTACAAACTTACCTCGTGCAAACTAACTTAACCCTTTGCAAACTAACTTACCTCTTTCAAACTAACTTACCTCTTGGAAACTACCTTTATAAACTTACCTCTACAAAACTAACTTACCTTTTTCCAAACTAACTTACGTCTTACAAACTAACTTACGTCTTACAAACTAACTTACGTCTTACAAACTAACTTACGTCTTACAAGCTAACTTACGTCTTACAAACTAACTTACGTCTTACAAGCTAACTTACGTCTTACAAACTAACTTACGTCTTACAAACTAACTTACGTCTTACAAACTAATTTTACGTCTTACAAACTAACTTACGTCTTACAAACTAACTTACGTCTTACAAACTAACTTACGTCTTACAAACTAACTTACGTCTTACAAACTAACTTACGTCTTACAAACTAACTTACGTCTTACAAACTAACTTACCTCTTACAAACTTAACCCTCCAGAGATATTTTCTATATAGGTTAAAATAACTTCATTATCTTTGTTTTTTTAGCAGTTTATATGGTAAAAATTCAGTTTGTCATATTTGGTTTATCTTTCCCTCACCTCTGATCTAGTCTACTAAACTCGCAACATTACGAATCACTTTAAGGGGGAAAATTTCAAATAAATTTTTTCTATGCTAGTGTTGTGTAAGTGTAAAATAGTCATTGTGATATTTACACTGATTACTTTTTACTTTTATGATAATAATCAGTCGATGAATGATCCTCTGAATCGAAATATATTTAAACTGATTTGTGTTAAATTTTCCTTAGAAACTCTATCAGATATTTGTATTATATGCAGATTATAGATTAAGAGATAAATCTCTCATCATCTCTCCTCAGGATTTCACCTTCAAATCTGTATAATTTACTTGATTTTCAAATTAAATTGCTGACCTATTTAACAAATTAATTTTAATCTCCCTTACAAAAAATCTTAAAAATTACTTATTCGCAAGCTTTATTGCACTTTTTTTTCTTTAAAATTATTTATTTTGGCCTTCTGCTTGTTTCAATTATCTTTGCATTTCTCTTTCCCTCCGTGGCATCAGTGCCATCAGCACCGCCAGAGAGTGTCAAGTGTGACCCTCTCTCGTCCCAGGCACTGAGAGTGCGCTGGCAACCACTCCCACTGAACCTTTCCAACGGACCTGTTCAGGGCTACAAAGTCTTCTATAAAAGGACGACAAACATTGAAGGTGAGGCTCATTGTTAGTCTTGTTAAATAACTTTTATATGTAGGAAAATAAAAGCTAATCAAATGCTTGTGAAAACAGATGCAGCCATTTAAAGAAAAAAAAATTGAAAAACCATGAGAGAAACCCGCTCTGAAGCAGAGATAGAGAGACAGTTGTTTTCACTGTATCACATAATTGTATTGGTAGAAGAGACACTCAGGATACGATATATTTGTCTCTGTTAAATAGTGCTTTTGTCTCATTTATCTCGTCACATTGAAATTATCAGCAACGACTGACCTAACTAAATGTAATTAACATTTAATTTATATTTAAGAAAAAGCATATGTGAATTACGTTGAATGCCAGCGCACGATACACACTACACACACACACACATACACACACACACACACACACCACACCCCACAAAACTTATATATATATATATATTATTTTTATATATATATATAAAATTTTAATATATATATATATATATATTTTATATATATATATATATATTATATATATATATATATATATTTATATTTATATATATATTATATTATATATATATATATGTATATTATATATATATCTAGGTAGTAGGTTGGTAGACAGCAACCACCCAGGGAAGTTTCTACCCTCCTGCCAGATGACTGTGAAACAAAACCTGTAAAATGTTTTGCATGATGGTAGGATTGCTGGTTTCTTTTTCTGCTCATAAACACGCTAAGATAACAAGGGATATCTTGCTACTCCTACTTACACTTTGGTCACACTTCACAGACACGCCCCATGCATATATATATATATACATACATCTAGGTTTTTCTCCTTTTTCTAAATAGCTCTTGTTCTTTTTTTTTTCTTCTATTGTCCATGGGGAAGTGGAAAAAAATCTTTCTCCGTAAGCCATGGTGTCGTATGAGGCGACTAAAATGCCGGGAGCAATGGGCTAGTAACCCCTTCTCCTGTATACAATTACTAAAAAAGAGAAGAAGAAAAACTTTATAAAACTGGGTTGCTTAAATGTGCGTGGATGTAGTGCGGATGACGAAAACAGATGATTGCTGAGTTATGAATGAAAAGAAGTTGGATGTCCTGGCCCTAAGCGAAACAAAGCTGAGGGGTAGGGAGTTTCAGTGGGGGGAAATAAAAGGGATTAAATTTTGGAGTATCTGAGAGAGTTAGAGCAAGGAAGGGGTAGCAGTAATGTTTTAAAAGTCAGTTATGGAAGGAGAAAAGAGAATATGAATGTGTAAATTCAAGATTTATGTGGATTAAAGTAAAGGTTGGATTTCGAGAAGTGGGTCATAATAAGCGTGTATGCACCTGGAGAAGAGAGGAATGCAGAGGAGGAGAGAGAGATTTTGGGAGATGTTAAGTGAATGTATAGGAGCCTTTGAACCAAGTGAGAGAGTAATTGTGGTAGGGGACTTGAATGCTAAAGTAGGAGAAACTTCAGAGAGGGTGTGGTAGGTAAGTTTGGGGTTTCCAGGTGTAAATGATAATGGGAGCCCTTTGATTGAACTTTGTATAGAAAGGGGTTTAGTTATAGGTAATACATATTTTTAAAGAAAAAGAGGATAAATAAGTAATACCGATATGATGTAGGCGAAATGACAGTAGTTTGTGGATTATGTATTGGTAGATAAAAGACTGTTTAGTAGACTTCAGGATTTTACATGTTTATAGGGGCCACAGATATATCAGATCACTTTCTAGTTGTAGCTACACTGAGAGTAAAAGGTTTGATGGGGATACAAGGAGAATAGAAGCATCAGGGAAGAGAGAGGTGAAGGTTTATAAACTAAAAGAGGAGGCAGTTAGGGTAAGATATAAACAGCTATTGGAGGATAGATGGGCTAAAGAGAGCATAGGCAATGGGTCGAAGAGGTATGGGGTAGTTTAAAAATGTAGTGTTAGAGTGTTCAGCAGAAGTTTGTGGTTACAGGAAAGTGGGTGCAGGAGGGAAGAGGAGCGATTGGTGGAATGATGATGTAAAGAGAGTAGTAAGGGAGAAAAAGTTAGCATATGAGAAGTTTTTACAAAGTAGAAGTGATGCAAGGAGGGAAGAGTATATGGAGAAAAAGAGAGAAGTTAAGAGAGTGGTGAAGCAATGTAAAAAGAGAGCAAATGAGAGAGTGGGTGAGATGTTATCAACAAATTTTGTTGAAAATAAGAAAAAGTTTTGGAGTGAGATTAACAAGTTAAGAAAGCCTAGAGAACAAATGGATTTGTCAGTTAAAAATAGGAGAGGAGAGATTATTAAATGGAGATTTAGAGGTATTAGGAAGATGGAAGGAATATTTTGAGGAATTGTTAAATGTTGATGAAGATAGGGAAGCTGTGATTTCGTGTATAGGGCAAGGAGGAATAACATCTTGTAGGAGTGAGGAAGAGCCAGTTGTGAGTGTGGGGGAAGTTCGTGAGGCAGTAGGTAAAATGAAAGGGGGTAAGGCAGCCGGGATTGATGGGATAAAGATAGAAATGTTAAAAGCAGGTGGGGATATAGTTTTTGGAGTGGTTGGTTGCAATTATTTAATAAATGTATGGAAGAGGGTAAGGTACCTAGGGATTGGCAGAGAAGCATGCATAGTTCCTTTGTATAAAGGCAAAGGGGATAAAAGAGAGTGCAAAAATTATAGGGGGATAAGTCTGTTGAGTGTACCTGGTAAAGTGTATGGTAGAGTTATAATTGAAAGAATTAAGAGTAAGACGGAGAATAGGATAGCAGATGAACAAGGAGGCTTTAGGAAAGGTAGGGGGTGTGTGGACAGGTGTTTACAGTGAAACATATAAGTGAACAGTATTTAGATAAGGCTAAAGAGGTCTTTGTGGCATTTATGGATTTGGAAAAGGCGTATGACAGGGTGGATAGGGGGGCAATGTGGCAGATGTTGCAAGTGTATGGTGTAGGAGGTAGGTTTACTGAAAGCAGTGAAGAGTTTTTACGAGGATAGTGAGGCTCAAGTTAGAGTATGTAGGGAAGAGGGAAATTTTTTCCAGTAAAAGTAGGCCTTAGACAAGGATGTGTGATGTCACCGTGGTTGTTTAATATATTTATAGATGGGGTTGTAAGGAAGTAAATGCGTAGGGTCTTGGCAAGAGGCGTAGAGTTAAAAGATAAAGAATCACACACAAAGTGGGAATTGTCACAGCTGCTCTTTGCTGATGACACTGTGCTCTTGGGAGATTCTGAAGAGAAGTTGCAGAGATTGGTGGATGAATTTGGTAGGGTGTGCAAAAGAAGAAAATTAAAGGTGAATACAGGAAAGAGTAAGGTTATGAGGGTAACAAAAGATTAGGTGATGAAAGATTGAATATCAGATTGGAGGGAAGAGAGTATGGAGGAGGTGAACGTATTCAGATATTTGGGAAGTGGACGTGTCAGCGGATGGGTCTATGAAAGATGAGGTGAATCATAGAATTGATGAGGGAAAAAGAGTGAGTGGTGCACTTAGGAGTCTGTGGAGACAAAGAACTTTTGTCCTTGGAGGCAAAGAGGGGAATGTATGAGAGTATAGTTTTACCAACGCTCTTATATGGGTGTGAAGCGTGGGTGATGAATGTTGCAGCGAGGAGAAGGCTGGAGGCAGTGGAGATGTCATGTCTGAGGGCAATGTGTGGTGTGAATATAATGCAGAGAATTCGTAGTTTGGAAGTTAGGAGGAGGTGCGGGATTACCAAACTGTTGTCCAGAGGGCTGAGGAAGGGTTGTTGAGGTGGTTCGGACATGTAGAGAGAATGGAGCGAAACAGAATGACTTCAAGAGTGTATCAGTCTGTAGTGGAAGGAAGGCGGGGGTAGGGGTCGGCCTAGGAAGGGTTGGAGGGAGGGGGTAAAGGAGGTTTTGTTGGCGAGGGGTTGGATTCCGAGGATGCGTGGCGTGTTTGATAGGAGGATGGGGGAAAATGGTTTTAATATTGAGTGCTGTTGGGTGTGAGCAAGTAAAATTATAAGGGTTTGGAAACCGGCGGCCCCGGATTGAGTCCGGGGAGTGGGAATACGTGCCGACTCTGAAGGGGGGGTTTTTAAGTTGCATTTTTAAAACTGTAGTGAAAAGCCCCCTTTGGCAAGACAGGGGAGTAATGATGGTGAAGTTTTTTCTTTTGGGCCCCCTGCCTTGGGGGGGAATGGGCCCGGGTGATAAAAAAAATAATTATATTTAATATATATATATTATATTTATATATAAAAATTATATTATTTATATATATATATTGGATCCCAAACCCGGTGAAGCAAGCGCCAGGGAAAGGGCACGGTGGCAATACTGGAGGGGCAAGTGTCGGTCATGCTTCAGCTTCGTTGCCCAAACTTAATGGTTTCCTCCGCAAACACGGTAGTTGCCCTGGTTCGGATGCCCTCCTGTGAAAAGTGATGATCCAGAGCCATCTCAGGCCCCTAAACCCCACCCCAAAACAGATTTCATCTCATCGACAATCTTTGGGGAAGAAAATTAAAAGGCAACATTTCGAGGACATCACACATTTTCCAAAGCCCCCGCCCACCGCAGGGGGAAATGACAGACCCCCTAAAAAAAGTAAACGATGGTTCCCTATTTAAAAGCTCCACCACCATAAGGTATGGCCCAACTTGTACTTTTTGGGAATGTCTGCTTAGCGTTTCCGGGAAAAAAGGGGAAAAAGGCTGCCCCAATATAATTAACCTTAAGAGATTTTCTAGGTTGTAACCGTTGCCTTCCCCGTCAACACAAAAAAAGGGGGGAGGCAGAACCCCACTCATCTCTGACGTGAAAAAAATCAGGTGCAGCTGAGCAAGAAAATTGAAGAGGGAAACAGTGGGGGCCAATCAGAATTATTACCCGTGAAGTACAGTTGCTCCCGGGATGCTGCATGGCTGAAGCACTTGAGGAAAGCACCCCCTGCCAGGGAAAAGTGGGACAACTTTTCCAAACATCTGTCCCCCTATGGAACCATTGAGTGGGGAAGATCAGACATTTACAAAGCAATAATGTCGTTCCCATCTGGCTCTGCTGAGGGTTACATGGAATA